GTGTTCACCGAGAGATTTCACTACCAGAACCAAACGGAGCTCCTCCGACCAAGGAAGGCAGGACTGCAGAAGGACCACGAGCAGAGAGACTGTCACTCCATTTGACTCGGGCGTGAGCTTTGGATTGTCTTGCAGACACCAACGGTTGGTTGAGTTGGGAACCAAAAGGGTGGCTGGTTGAGCTGTGAACAGAAAGGGTTGAGGGGTGAGAACAGACAACTGCAAACACCCAGCCGAAGCCCAGGAGTTCTAGGGGACCGGCCTACGCAACGACGTGAAGTAGTTTAGCTAGCTAAAGAGTCACGCGGTTTACGAGGGCGTTGGTGGGTTGATTCTGCTGCACGCTCAACGCTCATTTGTCTTCGTCTTGTCTCGCTCCAACCCAGTCTTTGATCACACCGCCACAATGCGCCACCGGGCGTCCATTCCTCGCAGGGCCAAACTGTTTGGTCACAACCCCCAGTCTGCGTGTTCGTGTGTCAGAGTCCTGTGGCGTGGTTGACTCTCTCTCTCTCTCTCTCTCTCTCTGTGACCCACGGATCCGATCCTACAGATGCCTCTTAGTTAGAGGGAGGAGTTGAGAAATGGGCGAGCATTCGTTGCTTGGTGTCCGTGCAGTTGCTTACTCAGGCTTGTCTCAGCTTGTGGCTCGGCACTAAAGTCAGTAAACCCCTCGTAAAGCGCCAACATCGCACGCCCCCCCAGCTGTCTTGCAGTTAGGTGGTTCGGTTCCTTCGTTTACGGTAACGGTGCGGTTTCTGAGTCTGGGTAGTCCTCGTTTTGACTTTTCTATTTTGTCTCCGCTAGACCGCTTTGTTCTTTGCATTGGGCTCACTCATGCCTCTCCCACACCAGCTTACGGCGGCTCCTCGTTTCCTGGTGCCAATGCTCCAGACGTCTTCTTGCTTGCCAACCTCTCGCTCGGGCTATCCCTCGACGACCTGCTATTTTCTCACTGGCCTCCTTCTGAGGGTCATCGATCTTTCTGGTGCGGCGGCAGTCTTGATCACGACCACAACCTCTTATCGGTTCGTCTTCGTGGTGGCTGGCTCAGTCGGGAACCATTTCTTCTTTCTCTGGTTCTCGGGCTGCTGCTGTGCCCTCCAAAGTCCAAGGGAGCCCAAACTGATCTTTTTGCAACGCTGACTCCATTCTACTCATTCATTGTTGGCAGCTGCAAGTGCTCGTCCCCCCTCTCTGAAAAAGTCAACGTTTCGTGCGTTCACCTCTTGTCTTGGCGCGTTGCTCTCCGAAGAAAATGGAGTTGTAAGGAATTGTTTCCGACTAGCTAGTTCGTCATTTCGCTAGCTTGTGTTCCAGCCAGTGAGTTCAAAGGTCCTACTAGTCATCATCAGCTATTCCTTGAAGAGAATGATCTCTTCCAGTTGATACGCTAAAAGATAAACACAAATGCCTAATGCTTTACTCCTCTATCAAAAGCCCCGGCAAGTCACCAATCGAACAAGTAGCAATGACATCAAATAATCGTACGAAAGGGTCAGCCTCAGGCGGCGGCACACTTGGCACCGCCAGCGCAGGGAAGTGCAGTCTTACCGTTGCTATCAGGACTTGGTGGAGAGTACGGCGCTTGCTTGTCTTCGGGTGCCCAAAGTGGGATCTTGACCGGAATGCCTGATTCGTCAAAGCCTCCCAAATCCGCCATGAAGCTCACGACACGGCCCTTTCCTCGTGGCTGGGAGTCGCGAAGAGTCCTCGTGATTCCTGGGTTGCAGTGCTTGGTGTAGGTTGTGCATTCAGTAAACGTCTTGTCAAAGGCGTAGATACCTCGGAAGTCTTCTTTGTAGGAGAAGATATTTACGTCCATGTGCCCTCGCCCGTCAAACAAAAGCATCGCAGTTCCCCCGGTCCAAACAGCATTGATCAGGAATCCATAGCCAATTTCGGAGAAACTCTCGTATTGAATCTTGTAGTTCTGTTTTACAATTGTCTTTTGAAGACCGCTGTGGAACAAAGCTTGCGTGCTGTCCAAGTGCATAGTCTTGGCACGTTCTTGGGTAATTTCAAATTGGAAGATGACTTGGAATCCAAGAGGCTTCTGGGCTTGCCAATGCTCGAGCTGGCTCTCTTGATCAAAATCGGCATCGGTAAAGTTGTCTGGTACAAGATGAGGGTCGGTGACGATGAAACCGTCATAGGTGTTGCCACGAACGTTCTCAATTTCTCCAATCAGTTGAGTGCGTGCCTCGGTCTTGTTGATAAACTCCACAAGACGTTCGCCAAAGTTAAAATCGCCATTGTTGAACATTGCCACCATGAAGCTGCTGGTTGTACTGTTAAAGTGGACTTCCGCGCGATGACTGGGATCATCCGGATAGATATGGGTGCGAAAGCGATCAACAAACGAACGCCTCCAGCCTTCGGAGTGGTCCACCAAGGGAGCAGTGACAGTCATGTTCTCTGCGAAGAAGATCTCTTCATTAACCGGACTCAACATGAGTCGGATCATAATCTTGGCAAGGCTCTCTGTGGCAGTTGGATCGACCACAACCGCGCGAATCTTGTCGTCCGTGGAAGGAATAGTGTCCTTCAAAGTATTCCAAAGTTCAATTTCACAATCGGCCATGCGACGAGCTCCATCTGGCATGAACTCATAGTCTTGAGTTCCAGGGCAGGCCGTCAACGTCACAATCTGGGATACACGCTCGACATCCTTCAGAGTTTCCGCCGCGTGACAAGTAGAATCACGTCCACAGAGCACAGCCACCACCAAGTCCTCTGGAACGTCGGTAATGACACCAATACTCTCCTGAACCGCAACTTTCACTGCGTCAATGGAATCCATTTGGTCATACTCCTTGGGTGGCTCCTTTTCTTCCACCTCATCACAGCTCGGCAACTTGGGTCCTCGATTCTTTTCGTCTTCTTTCCAGGTGCCAATGCCAAACATTCCTCCCGTGGCAACTCGGTACGACGACGAGCTGCGTCCTTCAAAGTCGCTACCCATGGCTTCAATCAAAGCTCTCTTTCCAACTTCTTGCTTTTCAAAGCTGCTCCAGAGTTGAAAGTCAAAGCCGACATAGTCCTCCTCTGGATAAACACGAGTCACGACATAGCCTTCGCCGAGGATGGTCACCAAAATCGTGTCGGTCGGTTTGAAGGACTTGGTGACGGTGAATCCACTGTCGGTCATGGCTTTTTCCACCAATCCCTTGACGGTTGTATCCAACGCCTGGAGATCCACCTTTGTGTCTTCGGCTTCGATAATCATGAGAATCCCGGGACTGCTCTCTTGCACCTCTTCATCCTTGACCTCCTTGGTGCAGTACGGGACAGGATTGGTGTAGTTCTTTTGGTAGTCATGAAGGTACCCATACTGCATTTTGGGGTCATCGAGCAATCTCTTGTAGAGATGATCAATTTGGTCATTGGGAGTGTACTTGCCTCTCATGAAATCAATGCCGTTGCTTCCCATGACCAGGGACTGACTGCACACGTAGGTGACATCGTACCAGTGAATGTGGAGTGTATCCCGAAAGACATGCTTTTGTTCGGGAAAGTAGTTATACTCGTTCTTCATGAGAATTCCCTTGGGTTGCAAGAGCAGTGAGAGCGCTTCCATGACATTGAGATGATCCGTGACCGAGAGGGAGGCAGCCGTTTCGGATAGATCCACCAGCACCAGATCAAAACTGCCAAAGTAGTCTTGTGGCAGCATGAGTAGACTCTTGGAGGCATCACCAAACCACCATTCGACCTTGGGGTTGTCCCAGTGTGGTTCGGATCCAAAGTGTTCAAAGGACGCTCGCGTAACATGCTGATCAATTTCCAATCCAACGACCTTTTCCAAGGTAGGGTATTTGATAATGTCATGCAGCAACATGGAATCTCCTCCTCCTACAAAGACGACTCGTTTGAGAGGATCTTCTAGGTATCGTGCCGTGTTGTGTACGCACATTTCGTGATAATCGGGACGGTAACTGGTGCAGATTTGGGTGACTGCAATAGTCATTTTTTAAAAACAAAATGTCAATAGTAGAATGATCGAATCAGTGAGTATACCAAAAGCAAAAGACGACAAGACAAAAAGCCAACAACAACACAATAATAATACATACCTCGATCAAGTTGAAAACAGGTATCATCATTGCGGTCAGTATTCTGAAAGAATTCAATTTCCTGGTAGGGACTCTTAATGATTTGCAAAGTCTTGTACGCATTTGTGTGATAGGGATGATTTTCTCCATTGGGTCCTTCGGCACACGCCATGGGTCGATCATCATTCCAGTATTCTTCATTGGGATGGTGAAAATCGAGATTGCCATAAGTCTTTGCCGATGCCGACAATCCACAGGTTTGACTGGCACCATCCGTAGTAGTAGTAGTATCAGTGCATCCCTTGTCGACATCGACGCCGGCCGCTTTGAGGCATTCGGAAATGGCGACAATAAGTGCCTGTTGGTATCGCTGGAGTGTTTCGAATTCGTGTGGAGGCATGGGACCATTGTTTTCATCCAAAGCATCGTATCGATCAAAGACGGCCTTGTTTTGGAGATACGTCTTTGGCAAATCTTGGAGTCGTCCGAGTTGTCCTTGCAACCATTCCAATGCCTTTGGGTGTGGGCGGGGCAACAACCACGTGAGTCTGAAATCTTCCCCTTCCAATTGGTCAAGTTCAAATCCAATTTCCTGCTTGTGAAAGAACCATCGTTGCGGAAATCCTTCGACAAATCCGTAATCTCGTAGCAATTCGGGTGTTCCATATCCCATGAATCGATTTTCGCAATTGGCACAAAAGTTGTAGGTGGTGGTAATTTCTTCTCCCTTGGCAATATCGCGAGACGCATACACTTTAATGACATCGGCCACACCGTCTCCTTGGGCGTTGCGTACGGAATCGTGATGCGTATTGAGTAACCGTCCATTTCCGTGGGACATCATGTCAAACACGGGAATCATGAGTTCATCCCATCCTCGTTGATTGAGTAGATAGTAGTAATTGAGGGCATCTTCTTCATTGTCGTCATCTTGCAACAAGTGGCCACAGCGATCTAGAAATTCTTGACTGGCATATGCGGATTCGTCGACTTCTGGTGGTAATAAAGTGCGGGAAGAAACATCCCGGTGCGTGTAAGGATCCATTTTTTTGGGTCCATGACTGAGGCCGAGTACTTCTTGAAAGAGATCCACTCCCGCATCCGTCCATGCCGAAGGAACTTGTCCTCGTGGTTGACTGTTCAAATAGGCAATATAAGGCGCTACAATACTACTATCGCCCAGTTTGTTTTCATCGAGTACTCGTCGTACCGTGGCGCAATCGAGGTCTTCTTCGCGTTCCCAACGGGCCGTGTGGATATCGACCGTTTCGTAATCGCCATCGTCAAATTGGACTTGTAGCAAATTCGATTGCATCGACTCGATGGTTCCCGTAAACCATTCTTGATGCGGAGGACCAAACCAGACCGTGACACGATCTCCCAATGCCAACGGACGATCCGCATCGGGTCTCACGACCAATTTTCCCGGGATTTCCAGCAAGACTTGGTCCTTTTGGATCTTCGCCGTTGCAAACATTCCGTAAAACGGACTATCCTTGCCGCCCGTTTGAACTAGCTTTAGGTTCTTGTGCAGTTGGCCATTGTGGCCATTTAACCAGTCCGTCAACGCTTTGCCATGGTTGGCCGATTTGGCGGCGGCATGGCTGAAAGCCACACTGGCAAACAGCAGCAGACTCGCGAGGAACCACGATACCGTCATTGTCGAGCTTCAGTTAGCTTCAGGTAGCTTCAGGTAGCTTAAGGTAGCTTCAGGTAGCTTCAGGTGGTCCTTTATCGATGTTTCTTCTTTTTTTTGGTAGGAAAATGAAAATGAGCAGCAATGCTACCTACCACAAGATACCCTTGAAAGGATTATTTTGAGGAGTGAGTGAGCAACTCGTGCAACACTCTAAAAATGCAACGGCAAGATTTTTCCGTGCCAATGGCAGCTTCGGCAAAGAGAAGGTGCGCCAAGCAAGCAAGCTCGCATTGGAATACAGACGTTACCAAGATACCGACTAATAAATGTGCGTCCAACCAAGACAGAACGTCAGCAAACGTCAGCATAGCATGGTTACTTACTATTTTAGTGCTCGGGTTGAGCTACCAACAGACTACTTTCCTCGGTGGACTCCACTCCACTCCACTCCACGTTATTGGCCCTTCCCAGCTATCAGTACCGTACATGAAACGAACGAACGAACGAACAAACTTTGAGCAAGAGTGATCATGAGTATTATTTTACACATCTATCAATGCCAACAAGATAAGACGGTACGGTTGTGGCCATCAATCACGTCGAACGGTACATACCGTACGGTAGTTGGCAATCACCAGATTCTTACTCTGATTTGGCTGACATGGCAGCAGTGCCCCCTCCCCTTCATTGCCAAACACAAATACTAGTATTCATGTGCATTGCTGTACCGTATGAACTAGTTAGTAAAGTAAGGTCACACCAAAGAATCTGTCGTTGTGGAGGAGGGAAAGCCAATCTACTACCAGGTACCGTGCATCATAACATAGACCTGCCTTGTTGGAGTGCTACGGTAAATGAACAGGACCGTTGGGGAAAGTATGAGCCACGCTTGGTACCAGTGTACTCTCTGAAATCTGAGTAAAAGTCTGTTACTCAACCACATTGACGCCACTCGTACTTACTCGTCACTCTTATTAGTAAACATTTCCGGTTCCTTGATGTCTGAAGAACATATGACATTTACCGGATCTAGCGGTGAAAAGGCGTCGCTGACCAGCAGTCATTTATGCCAGCTTTTTTGTGGCACGTGCCTAGTCGAGGGCTAAGAGCGTTAAGTGTTGACGCAAGTTGGGAACGGCGGACGCATAAGTCGAGGCGCAACCTGGCCAAGAGCATGACCGTCGGGGAAGTGGGGCACATAAGTAAAGCCGCTTTTTCCAAATTTTTGAAGAAATTGGCACGTGGCCCAGCTAGAGTACCATACCCGTACTCACAAAGTACAGTACTCCAAAGCCTTTTCAAATCATACATACATAGTACCGGTAATGAGGAAGGGCTGTCACGAAGACCGTCGGGGAAGTGGGGCACATAAGTAAAGCCGCTTTTTCCAGTATTACTAGAGTACATGTAGTAAACATTTCCCCTTCATTGATGTCTGAAGAAACATTTTATGACATTGTACCGGTACTCACAAAGTACTCCGAAGCCTTTTCAAATAATCATGCGGTAATGAGGAAGGGCTATCACGAAGGAAGCATGATGATAGTCCATCCACCGTAAAATACGGGTACCATTCTGGCTATTTTAAATAGTTTTTTAAAGAACACCCAACTACGGCCGTATGTACTCCACAGTAGAGTATGTCATAGTTTCCAATGTTTCCGATCTTTTATCGAAGACGAAGGAGTGATGAGTTGTTGATTTGGTTGAAGGCCTCCATTCGCCAAGACGAACACTTCGGTTGTTCCTCGTGGATGTTCTAGCTAGCTAGAAGACGTCACTCTTGGACTCTTGGACTGGTTTCTTGATGTTATGCATACAACATTATAGTACCGGACTGAGTTGAGTCAATAAAGATACTGTGGTGCCTTTTCATTCATCTCTCCCAATTTTCAGAAATTAGTGATGCAATTAATTACAGTAAGTATCCCAAGACTGAGCGGGATTGATATTTCCACAACGGTCCAGCGTTGCACACTGCTTATTTTGGTCCGGATCTCTACTTGTACATTAGTTGGAAAGCTGGAGAGAGTTGCCTTCTAGTAGATTGATTGGGATCACTTGAGCTGGGACTGCAATGGTACCGGTACCGTAGCGACCGGTACGCGGTATCAGCAGAGCAGAGTAGAGTACGGACGTCTTGGCTGACATCGATCAGCAAAACCATGGTCTTTCAAGGCCAGCAGAATCCGAAGAGCTCACGGAAAACTCAAGAGCCTGCGGCGTCTATCGCCGCTTACATGCTTGCTCCGGCAGCAAGATTCCACGGAGCTGATGCCCACGACATCCCTACAGGCACCAGTAGCATCAACCACAATAAAGTCCACCCACCCCCTGGTGGAAGAGGTTACATTTGATTGCACCTATCGACATCTCACATGTACCTGATAACTAGTAGAATTACATTCCATTGCCTGCTTCCATAGAACGATAGCGGTAGTCTAACTTGCCAGCACCAGACAGAAAGACACAAAAACAGAAGATACCATGTAAAATCTTCAAGCAAGCAGCCTCCAACCTCCAATCTCCTCCGAGACAAGGCCGAATGGATCGTTCTCTCTCCCTCCTTGTGGGGCAAACTTCTCTTTTGCTGAGGTCGTACGGTACAGTGGGAAATCCGTTCATTTCATTCCATCACTCCTACGTTCAACTAACTCGGATCGACCCGAACGCGGTTCACGGGTGGTCTCGTATTGTTGTTGCTGGTGTTGGCGGGAGTACTAGTCATGCCTCCAGTGCGATTGCTGTGTCTGGGAGTCCCAGCCGAGCTGGGTGGGTAGTGGCGGTGCATATTACTTCCTGGGTGTGGTCCCTTGGTATTCGGTGACCCGTGTTTGTAGTGGTGATTATTGGGTCCAGTACTATGATCGACAGTGTCTCGATACGACAATACGGGAGCAAGCTGCCGTGCCTTGCGCGTAATGTTTGGCACCAATGATGGACTACCTCCCGGTGCGAGCGATGGAGAGTTATTGGTGGGCATCATACTACCACCCGTCCAGGATGGTTCCGTACGATGAGGAACGGCTCTCTCGGGGGTTGTCACACTATTGTTTCGTGTTTTATGCATGGTTGCCATCGGAGCCGGCTGCAATGGAAATTTGTGGACCACAGGCGGTGTTCCGTAGGACGAGGACGACATCATGCTTGCCACCGTCAATGCAGTGTTGTGTCTGGCGTCTTCAACTGCGTCGGCCATTTGCTGCTGCAGAAATGCCATGCCGGTAGGACGATATTGTGGTGGTTCCGGTGGAAGCACCGTGTCGGTGAGCGTCGAAGAGGTTGGCACCTCCACAATGTAATTGGTGCTGGGTGGAGGCTGCTCGTATGGTGTATACTGCGGTTGGTTTGCGGATGTACTGTGTCGCGACATTGTTTCCTGCTGAGTCAAATTTGATGAATACATAGCTGGGTCGACCAATGCGCGATCGGCGGGATTACTCCAGTCTCCATTATGCTGAGGAAGCGGTTGTGCACCGTATTGCTGCGACGACAGCTGTGGTTGTTGTTGCTGCTGTTGCTGCTGTTGCTGTCCGACTCCTCCATCAAAATTGACGCTCTCGGTCAGAACACTACGGTCGTGCGAAAGTGGCATCATGGCACTACTATTGCCAGCGGTAGTGGTGGGATTTTGATGAGGATCGTAATGTTGAGAACCAGTGGCTCCTACAGAACCGCCTGGATAGTACGAAGGATCTTCGGTGAAGGTACTGATGAAACCTGCTTGAGATTGATACTCGGCCGGTGGATCGTAGTTCCACTCCCCTCCACCTCCTCTTGGAGCTTGCTCGGGATTCTGAAAGTGTTCTCCCTGTGACATGTACCCTTGTGGATCTTGTGTGGGGTGGTTGTAATGTTGATCGTACGCAGGCGGTCCTTCTTGACTCCTCCCATCATCCTGCGTATGAAAGACAGCCAATTGCTGCTGCTGAGGTTGTTGCCAGTAATCATGGTTGGCACTGGCCATGGCCGCCGCTTGTTCGTCTGGTCGCCATTCTTGTTCGTCTACCGTTTCCACGGTGTTGCCGTAGTTCGTGACAGCGGGTGCACTGCTGTACATGGCAGTGGTTGTAGGATTCGGTAGTTGGTACGGTCCGGGCGGAGCCGTCAGCATGGACGAGAGCAATGCCGCAGGGCTTTGTGCCGCAGCAGGAGGCACAAACGATGATGGTGCGGATTGCATGGTCGCGGCAGTGTTGTTCTGTTGCATAGTAGGCTCCGATTGTTGCTGCTGGTAATACTGAGATGTAGGTGGCAATGGGGCACCACCATGGTTCGACAGTGGAGCCCCCCAAGACACGGTCTGATGCTGCTGTGGCTGATGATGATGCGACGTCCCTCCTCGTCGTTCATCTACGTCAACCTGTGCCAACATTTGTCGAATGGCTCCAATTTCTGATTCGGTACTTTGAAAGCTCTGTGCAAGCGTCTGATGTAACTGTTGATGTGCTTGCAAGGCCATTTGCGTCCTTTGCAGATCCGTCTCGAGATTTTGTTTTTCCGTTCGAATCCTACCGAGTTCATTCTCCAGACTGGTCATGAATTGGCGCAGCTTTTCCAATAGGGCTTCCTTTTCGTTAGTATGGTGGAGCAGAGATGATGCCTCGGGTTGGGGTGGTGGCCGAGGCGGTTGTTGTTGTTGCGATGGATTTGGTACTTGTACATGTGGTTGAGGCATGGGTGGAGCTCTGGCAGTCTGCTGTTGGTGGTGTGGCTGTTGGTGTTGTTTTCGTTGTGCCAATTCCTGTTTGAGATCGGCAATTGCCTGTTTGATTTTGACCAAGAGGGCTTCCTTTTCCTGAAGCAATTCCTCTGCGGAATTCTTGGCATGCTGCAGCTGTGTTTGCTGAAGGGCCGCCCGGTATTTCAACGAGTCTGTTTCAGCCTGTTTGGCCGCAAGCAGTTGATTTTGGGACTGTCCCGTTTGTTGAAGTTGGTGTTTGAGAGAATCATTTTCCGCCATGGTGGCATCCCAGTGTTGCCCAATGCGATTTTGCAATTCCTTGTAGGGCCATGATTGCGAACGCTGTTGCTGTTGCTGTTGCTGTTGCAATAGTAAGGCCCGTGAGGCAGCCTCGGCTTCTTCGGCGGCCCTGGCCTGTTGCAAAACTTTGGCTCGAGCTTCTGCTTCGGGTGAGGTTCCTCCCTGATATGACGGTTGTGGAAATGCCCGTGCCGCGGCTTCTGCCTCTGCCGCTGCCACCGCCTTTTGTAATTGATGTACTCTGGCTTGTGCATCTTCTGCCAGTTGTGGATTATGATTATGATTCTTGTGTGGATGAGAATGGTGTTGCTGCTGCTGCTGCTGCATCTGGAGTCTCCGTGCCGTGGCCTCTGCTTCGGCATCTGCCACTGCCCTTCTGAGCAATTCGACTCTTGATTCGGCATCTTGGGATAAACTATTTGGGGAAAGAGGGGGAGGGGCTGCTCTGTTTGTACTTTGATTATGGGATTGTGGATTTGTCTGTTGCTGTTTCTGCTGATTCAAGAAACACTTGATGAGTTGCTCCAATTCTCTCAAGAACTTTTCTGCCCCAGGTCCTTCTGTAGCAGCATTTCTACTGGTTCTGGCAGGATCAGGTGGCGGGAGTTGCTTGTCGGGTGGTGAGCCTTCCGTCTTGAGCCACTCTGGAACAACTCTGTGGCTTTCTGGCTGAGATCCTATAGATCCTACTGGAGCCTGAGCCTGAGCCTGAGGTTGTCCATGTCCATGTCCATACTGCGCAGTCTGATGCCTCTGCTGTTCCACCTGATGCTGCTTTTGTTCGTGTTGTCCAATACTCCTGATCAGTTGATTCAAGTACTCTTCTAGTTCATGTACTGGATGATGATGATAGTGATCATGAGCTGTATTGGTGTTGGCAGTCACTGGGGTAGAAGGACCTGTGCTCAGACCTGTGCTCAGGCCTGGACCTGACCAACCACTCATGGGCCTTCCACCACCAACAGCATCAGCCATGCCCACCAGTTAGCCTAGCTAGCTATTGCTCTTCTTCTATCTCTCCTTTTCCTCTCTCTCTCTGTCTCTTGCTCTCTCCTGGGCTTCATGTACTGTGCAGATGCTGATCCAATTGATGCCACTTTCGAAATTTGTGAGAAAGATCGTTCAATCCCGACTAAAAATGATCGTGTCAGTCCCCAACAAACCCAACAAAAGAGGCGAGGCCACCCCCCGCCACAAGAAACTAGACTAAGGAAGCCGTCTTGATTGGTTGGGCGAGACGAAGACTTTTCGACCCACCCAATGACGAAGTGCTCAACTAGCTAGCTAGTACAGCGCGCTATAAACAACACCCAGTTATGACATGCTGCAGCCAGTACGGTATGCATGCCAGTACCGGTACGCAGCCTGGTTTCTATTCCGACGTGCGGTACGGTAGTAGCAACCAGCCAGAACCGATCCTCCAACCTTTTAAACAAACAGAGAGCTCCTCAAGCTTGGTTCAACTTAGTTGGAGACACGCATTGATTGCTCTGCTTGAAGCCTTCAAAGGTGGCATCTATATGTACCTTAGCTTATGTCGTACCGGTAGGTAGTGTGGTGGCGCAAAATGCAGTCCAAGCACCTGTTAAAGACTGTGAGCCACCAGCCGCTTGTAACATAGATTCTGCACTGATGGCTGCCACTAGCTAGCTAGGGTTTGACAGTAACAATGGCATTTGCAATCAATGAGTCGACAGTCTCATCCATGTGAAGCCGCGCTGATGATCAGCTAGCTCTAGCTCTAGAGCCCGGCCGGCCAGACAGCCATAGGATTGAAACTCAGACTTGACCGTGCTACCACAGTAAAGGATATTCCAGCTTTCAACACCAACCCAACCATCACCCCAAACACTTGCAACACAGGAAGTACTACCCTAATTCTGGCTTCGTACCCGTGGTAATGCCTTCTCTGAAACCACAGGATTGATCCCTTTGTTGCACGAGCTGAACCAGCGCGCTTTCCTTCTTTAGAAAAGCAACTTCCAAGTTTGGAGTTTCCGGAGCGCCTGCACTCTAGTTGCCGGAGGGCTTTCCCTTCTAATCAAAATATGCAAGGTTTCCGGAGCGCTTTCCCTTCTCTAATCAAAATATGCAACTTTTCCGGAGCGCTCTCCCTTTTAACTCTTCCGGAGCACCTCCCACTTCTGACTATGAATAAGTGTACTTGCCGGTTGGCTTTCCCTTCTAATCAAAATATGCAAGGTTTCCGGAGGGCTTTCCCTTCTCTAATCAAAATATGCAACTTTTCCGGAGCGCTTTCCCTTCTCTAATCAAAATATGCAACTTTTCTGGCCCGGCTTGAAAGAGTGACAGCACAGTTTAGACGTAGAAGCGGTCGAATCTTCAATCATTCACAAAACCACTCTTGGAGGCCACGAGGTGGGTGGGTGTTTATCTCGTGTACGGTAGCTCCCTTGGGGAAATATCCAAATCACTAGAAAGCAAGTAAGTTCTCACTGCCAATCATCTATCCATAGCTACTTAAATAATGGTGGTGAGTATGATTGGGCTTCCGCTGGAAGCTTGCAATCCTGCATTGTGCTTGGTCGTGGGCTCCTCAGTGGTCACTCGTAGTTTGATCAAGACAATCGTTTCAGCATCTGTCTGTGTCTCTGTGCGACCTCTCGTTGCTGTGTATTCGCCACGACTTCTGCCGTACTGATACCGGTAGTTTGGGCAATGCTATACGGTATCCATGTCCGCTTCCAAAGGGACTCGTCACTCGGTTTTGCCTCACCTTGTGGATTCGATATCTTTTTGCAAGCGCAGTTTGGGGTTTGTGTTTTAAGCTTGCAGAGCGAGATGACACCTTTTTGGATGGACACACGCAATCCACGTCGTCCAGAGTGTTTGCAAAACTCTTGAATCCATGTTGCCCATGGCCTCAGGGTTGAATCATTCAGTTGCAGGTACCGGTACATGTAATATAAGCAACTAGTTTAGCGCTAGCTTAGGGCGGCAGAATTGGTGCCAGCCATTGCGTACCGATACTTCATCCATATAGCGGTGGCAGTGGCCGCTGTACTTGTCATCGTTGCTGGAATACGGGAATAGAAGAATCTAATAGGAGTGACCAGCAGGCAGCAAGCCAACCGACGAAACTGCAGAGGAGGCAGAGGGGAAAGCGCTCTCCGGTGACAAGATCTGGTTGCTTGGCGATACAGCTGCTATGGTATCGTAAAAGTTGCTTGTGTTGCAGCCTTCTGGTGCACATGCAGCTACCGTATGCATATACGCATATCAGATGCATAGTCAGGCCGAGAGCAAAAAGCCACCGGTGCATTCACCCAAGTTCAATTGCTTCGTTCCTGACACTCGGTGGTGGCCAACAAAGAATGCCAATCGAAACAGTTAACTTCTCTACTGAATGAGTACATACAGCCAAGTTCAATTGCTTCGTTCCTGACACTCGGTGGTGGCCAACAAAGAATATTCAATGTCAATCGAAACAGTTAGACTATGCATAGTTGACAACTGTACCGGCGCTGAATGAGTGGTCGTTTCAGTGTTCCATGCAAATTTGTGAGGGCGGAGCGCAAAAAGATTTTGCCTCTCCTGATTCTCAAACATGATTCAAGGCTCAAGTAAGGGAGACCGTTCCTTGATCATTGATACTCCTCTTTCGTCAAGCTTCTTTTCTGTGCGAACGGTCAAGCCTCGTCTTTAATGGTTGACAAAATAATGATGACCAGAAACTTACTTGAGAAGCGGCCTACATGAATCACGCAATTTCCAACCTGTGAAGTCCGAAATCTATGGTATTCTTTTTACACCATGCATGGTGTAGTGGATTGGCTTGCCACGTACTGAGCCACTGTACAAAATGGCGTAGCTCGGACGTTTTATACGATCAGTCAACTTCCACGTGGAACCTCCTCAGAGCACCAAATGTGCGCATTCCTTTGGGCGACTGGACTCGCCAAGATTGCCACAACAACAACAACCACAAAACCACAACAACAACACAACCTAGCTAGCTAGGAACTAGCTAGTAACGAAACATTATAGCTTGCAAAGCCAGGGCGAATACCTCCAAGTCAATACCAGCACGATGTCGTCAAAGAAGAAGCCTGGGGATCTCTCTGGTCTCCACAAACACACTTTGTAAGGATCCAAGGCCACCGTACTCGTTTTCGATACTTCGTACAGTGGCACAGATGCAACCACCCACACCATAGCAACATGCTGCAATGCGTAAACTTGAGAAAAGCAGAGCTAGCCATTAAACTAGGAAGCTACAGTTGACATGACATCTAAAGCTAAGAACCTCCTCTCCTCCTCCTCCTCTCTTCCTCTCTTTCAACTTCCCCTCCCCCTGCGGGGGAGGGTTTCTTTCCACTTCACTGAATAGAAATTTTCACAACAGTCTGAGTCGAAACAGTGAAGCGCAAAAAGACTTCGTTTATTCTCAAACATGGTTCAAAGATGACCCTCCTTTAATACTGTGCTTGTCGTCTTCCTTCTTTCTGTGAGAAGGTTCAAACATCACTCTTAATGGTTGACGACACAATATGACATGAAACACACTTGCGCCAGATGAGAACTGCCTAAATGAATGTCTGAGCTTTCCGTAACCTGACAACATGAAACTGGTGACTTGTGACACAGAAAGCTGCAGAAAATAAAATTTAATGGGTGCCATGTGCCATGCGATTACTTGAAGATTAGGAATTAGGCAGTGAAATGGGGAAAAGGTACAACAGCTCTACAACATCATACCCATGCATTAGCTAGACTACAACTACTAGTAGCCCATGCACACGAGTATCGGTACTGGTAGCAGTTGGGGAGAGGGTATTGTAGCTGTGAATGCCATATGTTCCGGTACGTGCAGTAGGAGCTCACGCAACTTGTCTAAAAATCCCCTTCAGCAACTCCATCGATGGAGCATGGCTAAAAGTGATAGGTGAAGACTCCTGAGCTGCTACCGTACAGTAACGATTAGCTACTGGAGCCCAGAAAGATGCAGTTACATGTAATGCAGTTGAATGCTTGCTTCCTCGTCCCCGGGAAAAATCACTCTTGGTTGCCATGGGTACAGACATGAATACCAGTAGGAGGATGGTCAAAAGCAACAAAGAATGTCAATGGCAACTCCGGGCTGACACGATGGCAATGGGTTGGAGCTGAGGTATTAGGGGGGCTAGTACCGTTGAGCAACCAAGAACCAAGGCATGCCGCAGATACTAGTAAGGTCCCCCAAGCCCTAATTCCCGAATGCCTCGTCTGGAACTACGTGCCAGTTGAGCTTGCCCCTGGTAGCCTAATTCCGATGGAATCTACTTCTTTTATTAAAGAAGAGCTGCATGTGCCGGAGCAATCATGGACTACAGTGGCCCTGCCGGTAGTGGACATGGCGTCATCGGGTTGTTTCTTTTAGTAGTACATGCCCTATGGGTCTGATTACAAACTAATTCCGTTGAGCAACAAGGCATGCCGTGGCCAAAACTCCAAAGTACATACATGCACATGTACTCGATCTTCCACAGTTGTTAAATACCCGTATTTTCCAAGAGGATAATGTACCAATAGCATCGGCGCCATCCACCATCCACACAAGCAGCCTAGCAATCATGGACATCCGCCCGAAACTCCAAACTAATTCCTACTAAGATTACAGTACCGTAGTCATGCCGCCTGGACCCGAGCTGGGACATGTTTATAGTGACATTGAGCTACTTCATTGGGAGCCAGAGCTCCTAATACCGAGATCAGAAGAGCGATGAGTCGGACCTGGCGAGCTTCGTGCGACGGCCAAAAGTGCTTGGACGTATGCTCTGGTAATCGAGTACCGGTGGCAGATGCATACTGGTGCAAGACTGGCAGATTTAGGTTCTGGTTCTTTTCTTTGCACTTGAGACTTGAGGAGCTCTTGAGGTTTGTGGTTTGGGGAGCTTTTGTGCTAGCCATAACTTTGCCATGCTCCCTGGTAGCTAGCTTGCTAGCTACATGTAGCAATTGACCAATGATACAGTACCGTACTGAGTAGCTAGCAGCGTTTTCGCATTGCTAACAAAGAAACTACCGTACCGGTATCGTACCGTACTGTACCGCAAGCCAGCAAGCGTACACTAGTACAGGTACATTGTAGGTTACTGGTAATCGATACTCGCACTCGTAAGCTGGTGACGTCTAGCTTGGTGCACCAGTCAACAGTCAGCTTTCAATTCGACGGAAGGGCATTTTTACTCATGGATCCAAAGCCTGCAATCGCGGTTGGACAGAATAGGCATCGCCAACCACATGGAATGTACAGAATTAAAGTGCATTTTGCACGGGCGTTTTGGGACAACACCAATTTACTATATAAAACACAGTACAAATGATTAAAGGACTGTTGTCCCAGTCACTTTTTAGGGGAATGTCTTAGAAAGTGTCCGTGCACAATTAAACCCTAAACTCAATATAAGTAGCAGAAGGGGATCAAGCCTTAACATATAAACTAAACTAGAGTTTGTCTGTTTAACATGAGCAACACAGTGGTATTCATATGAGTGAAATTGCTTGAAATTCGCGACTTGTTGTTAGGTAAGTTAGTCATTTGGGACAATCCATACAGTACAAAGTGGGTTAAAAATGTTTTTCAAGAAATTTACACTGGATAAAGCATGGTCCCATCCAAAACCCACTTTAATCTTGTAGGGTTGACTATCTACGGCTCAGTACGAATTTGGGGTTCTCGGACGAAGGTTGAAGTATTTCCTGTCTAAAGTAAAGCCAGGGTTTAAGGATTGTTCTGCAGAGAAGACAAAAGCCCTCTGTCCACAACTGCAACAAAGATACGAGAACCCTGGGTTCCGGTAAGCACAAAGGCCGGCCGGCGCGAGCGATGTCAATATCCAAAATCATTTTTCTCACCAAAGCCAAAACTGGCTCATAATTTGTTTTCTGTTCGAGCTGATAAAAGCACCAAATCCAGAACCACTCTCATAAAAGAAACCTGTGTTGAAAAATGTTGCACCGTTTCACTGTCGCCATGGCGTTGCTCGCCGCCTCTGCCGCCGCCAAGGATTTGGTTCGGATCAGCATTCAGCCTGCCTACCACGCCATTCCCATCTGGGCTGCCAAGAAGTACGGATGGTTTGAGGAACTCGGCATTGAGGTCGAACTTTCGGTGGTAAGTAAATTTATTAAAAGACTTGACTTGCTTGTGCCACAATGGACCCTGACGACCCTCTGATCTCATGTCTTTTCTTTTTCTCTTTTCCTTTTCTATCCTCAGTGGGCTTCTGGTGCCCCTCAGGTCAAGGCCGCTGTGGAGGAGAAGGCCTGGGATTTTGGTAAGTCCAAGAATTTTGATGTGTATACCCCACCTTGGTCTGAAGAAAGATACCCTCATCTTCTCTCTTTTTAATGGATCAGGAATTGCCGGATCTGTGCCCAATGTGATTGCTGGCCAGCAGGGTGGGTATCTTGACGGTTGGAATCAACAATGACGAATCCTACACTACCGAAGTCATTGGTGAACCTGGTGTGGAAGAGTGGCCTCCCAAGACACTCACTCCCACCATCTTTGCGGGAACCCCCAAGTCCACGGGAGAACTCCTCTTGCGCAAGTGCTTGGTCGCTGCCAACTTGACCTTTGACGACGAACACATTTTGTTTGACCAGCAAGGACCTATCATGGAAAAGTTGCCTCAGTCGGGGGATCCCCAGTATGCCTGTCTTTGGTAAGATACAGATAGAACCTCAACCAGCCATGCCATCACACACATCACAACATGATGCATCTCATCCATGTACTTTCTCTTTTCTATAGGGCCCCCAACACGTACACATACCGTGAAGCCTACCCCAAAGCCAAAGTCTTTTGCTCTGGCCGCAACATCGGTGAGTGTAGCTACTAGCTGGAGAGAAGCTGAGTTGGGTTGAAGGCAAACAAAGTGTAGTGCCTCACTCATGTGCTACATGTATTACTTCCAGACTTTCCCATCTACGGAGGTCTCATGATGCGTCAGGAATGGGCTGAAGGCAACATGGACCTGGCCAAGCGTGTCCTTGCTGCCTACCTTCGTGGAGTCTCCTTTATGCAAAATGCTGAATTGATTGACGAAGTCATTATCGTTTCGGACGAATACCACAAATGGTCCGGAGACGGCATTTCCGAAAATGCCATTAAAGAAGATTTGATCCTTCGTCCTCTCTTTAATCTGGACCAACAGCTCGATCACTTGGACCGAAACTTTGCCAACGAGTACATTTCCGATGCCGACCGTCATTACATTGAATTGGAAGAGTTCCTTTTCAAGCAAGGAGTCATTCAGAAAAAGTTTGAACCACGCGAATACGTTGTCCGGGAATTCATGGAACTCGTCAGCAAGGACCCCGCCCTTCGTGCCTTTTCCTACTTCAGTGCCGGCGACTTTGAAAACAATGCCCCCAAGGGCAGCAGCTCTTCTTCGGAAAGCAACAAGGTCGATGGAGCGCTCATTGCCGGAATTGTCTTGTGCGTCGTGGGTGTCTTCTTCCTCGCTTTCGCCTTTGTCGTCATGAAGCAAAAGCAGACTCCCATCATGGTCGACAAGACCGACACACAGGGAGAATTCAACTCGGCCTAAACACCAAAGCAAGGCATGCAGCAAGCAGGCAAGTCATCTGGAGCAATATTAACGGCATATATGGCGGGACGAAAGCAAAAGCAAGAAACCAAGCCGATCAACGGATTCATTCATTCATTCTGAGTCTCAACCAACCAACCAACAAGTTTATGTATGTAGTAGTGGTTCATTCATAGTAATACTGAGCAAAAAGTTTCGAATGCCTCGAGTGTATCTGTACCAGGTAGCATTGCTTTTCTCCTTGCCTCGCACGTTGGGCTTGCGGGACGATCGAGCACTGTCTGCGATTTCATCATTGGCTTACGCCTTCCTCGAAAGTGATTCCTGGGGTGTTTCTTGGGGGAGGGACTGGGATGGACGTCATGACTACGGTTGCCATGAGCAGCCCTCCGTTGACCGAAATTGCTTGACATTTTTAATGGATTCACAAAGCGATCCGTACCGTGGCAATGATCCAGAACAACCCTTCACTTCGCACCACGGTAGGTAGACAGGAAAGCAAGTGGTCTGGCCTGCCTCTTTCGTACCAGTGGGCGGTTGTTTCACATGCATAGAGCACGTTTTACTTGCCCAACAGAGACCAACTTCTTCAACTTGCTGTCAGCCCAGGCTGTGAGGTCCAACACCAGGGTAGCCTGCCTGGACGATGACCCGCATCATGGAATCACTTAGTTAGGTAGAGGAGAAAGCCAAAGGCAGAATACTTGCTTGCTTTTAGAAGCCGAAACCAGAAACTGGGATGCCACCAGCCACACTCTACACAAACTTGAAGTGGTGGGGGCTACAGCACTTTGGCATTCTTGTCAACGGGTCAACACCAGAGCCTGGATCGTGCTCACTCACATCTTGCTACCGCTAGTTAGTAGCTGCTGCAGTCAGCCTAACGTACGCTGGCAGCTGACAATGCATCGATAGAGACCCCAGTCTGAAGTTTTTAAGATAGTGACTGTCTCACGCCAACAAATGTCTTTTAAAAAAGTTTAAGTGCAGGACAGTCTGAAGTGAAGTCATGTTTGTAAATTTTACAAAAACATTTTTCAGTCTTTTTTACAAAAATCAAGCTGTACGGTAGAGGTAGAGCACCTGCGGGGCATGGTGTTTCATCCCCGGGCAGACGATGGATGCAAGATGGATGTGTCCGTCCGCCAATGTGGCGTCGTAGCTGGAAGCAAGCGCAGCCAATCCGGTGGCTGTCGACAGTACCCCAATGCAGGACGCTCCTGGTCTGTTTTTAGTTTCTACGGCTGTACGATCTCGACCGGGCGGGGGGTTGTTGTGAGTAGCTGGTCTTCTAAAGCCACTGCCAACCGCGAAGTCCTTTGCGTGCCTAGCTAGTCTGTTTTCAAGAACGGACGACTATAACTATAATACAACGTCATGTGGACTGTAGGAGCTGCTATGTTTGTGTCCTTGTTTCGATGATTGTTCTAGGTTGATTGATTGATTGGCCAGACATTGCATAGATGTGCCCAGCCGTTGTATAAGACGTTCTCTTTCGACTGCGTGCCATTGCCATCGGCCCAAAGCTTCGAACGAATACCAGTATAAGTACTAGCCCTCCATTCGCTTTTCCAAATCCGACTTTTCGCCATCGTCGATCCATCGTTGCGTCAAGGTACTGGTCGCAGGCCAAGGACGTCCACCCACTTCTTCTACGGGGACACCATTCTCGCGGGCAATGATAGCACGAACACGGGCTTCACAACCGTAGTTCTCGGGATCGCCTTGGCAATGCCCCATACCGGCACGGGTCCGTTTCCGAATTCCTTGCGAGGAGTCAATGGGGAGAGAACGTTGCATGGCACGGACAACCTCCAGTTCGGTCACCTTTTCGCATCTAGTTGACAAGTAATAGGGAGAGCGCAGCGACAGAGAGTACGGGTTAGTCTCACAACATGTTGAACCGCTCCGCCGGAACATGAATGTCTCGTTGTGTGCATCATTGGTTTTGTTCTGTGTGTCTACTCACTTGCAAATCACATTGGCCGCCATTTTCTTTTCCCGTTCGCTTTCGCTCAAACTCTGGGGATCGGCCACATCGTTCTTGCCAATGGGTCCCATTTTCAAACCGCGCATACCACTCTTGGGAGTAATGATCGGTGCTCGATTGGGTTGAAAATTGGGATTCTTGGCCATGTCCTTGAAACCGGCTTCTTCCTGCAACAATCGCACCACCTCGAGGGCAATGGCGGGACTACCAGCCAACCCAGGACTGTCAATGCCAGCGACGTGTATCATTTGGGGACATGTTTGACAAACTTCAATGATCCAATCTCCACGAGAACTCTTGGCGCGAGCCCCGGCAAATGCATGAAAGGTTTCCTTGGGGTCGAACGATGGGACCAATCGTTTGCATTTGGACAAGATGTATTCCTGGACGGATGACGGTGACATGTCGCGTGCTTCTGGTTTGTACATGTCTCGAGCAGTAGGACCCAAAATGAGATTGCCCCACAAGGTGGTTTGAACCAGGACACCCTTCCCCAAAACGGGATCGGGACAAGGAAAGAGCGTGTGGGATGCCAGATATCCCTGGTTGCGATTGAGCAGCAAGTAATCGCCCAATCGGGGTTTGATTTGAAATGACTCGTCGCCGACCATTTTGGCAATCTCGTCACTAAATCCACCAGCACAATTGATAACATACTTGGCCGTGATGATTTCTTGTCCGACCGAGACACCACCCATAATGTTTTTGGAACCGCTGCCACCGACCAACATGCTGTCTGTCGCAACGTTGGTGCCACTTCCCGCCGCACCCATCGTCTGATTGAGAATGGCATTGGCCGTCTGGATTACATTTTTTACGGCTGATGCACCGCCACCTGGTAGCGGCGCCAACAAGACAATCACTGGCAACACAATTCCCGTAAAGATGCAGTAGTAGGTTTTGGTGTCCGTCCACAGCATGTTTACATCGTCAATGAGTCCCGAGTAAAAAAAGGGATGGGTGGACATTTTTTGCACGGCAATGGCCAGAAAGATGAAAATGAGAATGAGTTTGGCATTGGTATTGGATTGTTGCGTCGTCGTGTCGACGTATTCCTTTGGTTCCCAGTGATCGAGTGTGATTTTGAGACAATTGTCGTTTGTTTTTTCAATGGCATTGACTTGTCTACGAATTCTCAACTCGACACCATTATCGACGGCGTTTTCTGCCAAGGCAATGGTGAATTCCTACATGTAGAAAAACAAGATGAGCAAAAACAACGTTGAGAGAATGAGGAAATCACGCCAATTACTTTCGTTTCCATTTATTTTCTGACTTACATAGGGAATGACATTTCCGGCATCGGGAGAGTAGAGGGCAGCGATAGCTTCTGGATTGACGTATGGTTCTCGCTCTCGCAACTCTTTCTGATCAATGATACGTAGATTCTGGACCCCGTTGGTTTCTCCACGCTGTTTGAGTTCCTCCAAATGCTTCTTGTCCTCTTCACTGTATGCCAATACGAGTGATCCATTGAGTTGGTACCCGAATCTCAACTCCTTATCCAAGGCGGGAAACATTTGGTTTCCGGGCCAACAGAATTTTGCGTGGTTGCTTCCGGGTTTGTCGTCTTTTATTCATTCATTCAAGTGGTGATCCAAGTGATATAGATGGGGGTGGAAAAACGAAACATGAGTAAACACAAGTAAAGGAAGTCTCCATTTCTTCTTTGCATCCCTTTTTTATCTTTAAACCTACCATAACCTGCATGCACAATTCCAGAGTTTCCTTTGGTGGCGCCTTGGGATACCTAATTATTTTAAAAGCAATCACAGATGCCAAAGAAGAAAAAAGCAGAAAAGATAAAAGGTAAAAAATTATGAGTAAGGATAACCTCAGACACTAAAACCACACACCATAACGACACCAATAGCTAGCTAGCTAGGTAGCATCCAAAATCCAGCCAATGGCCATTAGCTAGCTAGCTACTAGCTACCATGAAATAGGTAGGTAGGCAGGCAGGCAGGTTGGTAGGTACTTACATCATCTGCAGCTTCTACCCAAAGTACGCTGACTTGATACTTGCTCAATTCCCTGGCAACAGCAGCACCAATGCAGCCAGCTCCCACGATGCAAATATCGTAAAGGTAGTCCGTCTTGTCCAAGGACGCATTGCGGCTCCGACTGCGAGGACAGGTAGTCTTGTGGTTGCAAGTAGAGCAATTCTCTGTAGGATTGGAAAAGGTCTTGTCACAGTCTTCTATGTCCAACCAGCTTCCACCGTAGTACACTCCCTTGACTCCGTGTTGCTTCAGTTCGCGCTTCTCCGTCGCCATGGTGCTGAAAAACACTAAAAATGCAAAAAAATGAGACTGCCAAAGAAACCAACTCAGTCTTCGATTCTCATCAAAGATCCAAATGTAGAGAAATGACGCAACGCCAATGAGACTGACACCATGCAATCAGTGACGCAAGATATGAGAATCTTTTGAGAACTCCAGTAAGGATGGGGCCTGAACTTGAATTTTCGCCTGGACTCGACTGGCGCACACTGTCTCTTGCAGAGAAGCTCCATGGTGTGGTATTGTGGTTGGCAGTCTTTACGGCCGTCATGGGGATGGCCAAGCTTGGAGATATTGTAGCCTTTTTCAAGTGAGTAGCAAGGAAATGAATTATATTACTACATGCTAGCTAGCTAGATAGCTACAAGTACAATTTGATTGAACATTGGTTGTGCTCTAGACTACGATAGCTAGATTACTAGTAGCGAATTTTAACTTTCCAAGTATAGGTCCAATTTCAATAGTGGTATTCTCCACGTAGTATACTCTCTACAATCCCACTTACTTAGACACGCAACCCGATCCTCGGTGGACATCTGTGTGGTTCAGCGGATCTGGATTTGTCTCTTTTTGTGGTTCCTTTGTGGGGATGGATATTTCTTGTGCAATGCAAGTCGCTCCATGCGTTCCCAACTTTGTGTCATTGCTCATGCAAAGTGAATGTGGGGATGGTTCGTCCCCATACGGTTGCAAGGAGCTGTTCTGGCTCCAAGGTAGCCAATTATGCCGAGTACATAGCTCGCTCTCTTCCTTTGGTTCATCCTCGAGCAGCATGTACACGTTTAGCACCTATTAACATTTAACGCGATGTTAAAGCTTTTTTCACTACTTCTTTTGATGAGTTAAATCGGCGAGTGTTAAAAAATCTTTTTTGCGGCAAAAATTTAACGTAAGCAATACGGTATTTAACACTTTTTGACTTGGGCTTAACAATAGCTTCCTAAGAAACCAATGTTAAAACACATTCTTCGCCGGCTCCTTTTAACTACGAAATTTAATTGATTTAACAAGCGAATACATAGATTTTTTTAAAACAATGAAATCCCAGTCAAATTTCCTTCTTTTCAAAACATTAATCGGCATGCAGCAGCGCAGATCAATCGACACAATGACAAGAGTGAGACGATTGTGCCGCTTTCAAGGGAAGCATTGAGAGGAGAGTTATGTGCCAAGGCAATGGAAGCTTAGTAGACGAAGACATGAACAATATTTGGATTCATGTGTCGGATGATTTTTGCTTGCTTTGGGCGGCCTTTGGCCAAGCTGCGCGGACGGAATGGATTTTGATCAGCAGCAACAACAACAAGTTGCTGCTTTGGATTAGAGTGATTCACGATGAGCCACGTCTTCATTGAGCGGGCGGTCGATGTCTGTCGCAGCATCCCCGAATGGAGTGAGCCCCACTTCTCAAAGTCTGATTGCTTGATTGCTGTGGGAATGGAAAATGAATCGGCATTATCGGAAACCAATCGACGGCATGTCCACCGTCTGCTACGCGGCTTGGAGCAAGCTGAAGGCCCACCGTATCATCCCAACACTGAAAAGGACAATACTGATCATGCTGTTCACCTGGCTACTTTGATTGCAGTCAATCCTGCTACTGGGAAAAAGGCATCGCTTGCTTTTGTTATGAGAGTTGCTGGATTCGCCGATGAGAGTTGTGGCCCAGGCAAGGATTATGTTCGGGTGCAAAGGCGTGTCAAAACAGCAAGACAGAAGAACTGCAACCCACCACCGCCAGTGCCTCCGCCTCAAGCTAGCAGAGCAAAACCTGTCCCCCCAAAACGTCCACCATCGATACCCAAATATGCAGCCATTATGGAGATTTACTTGGAAGACGATTCCTATGCTCCCAACTTATTGTTATCTCCTTTATCATCTGCGTCTTCTACGACAAGTAGCAACAACAAAAAACCTGCTGCAAAGGAGACTGCAAAGAACGATGATGAGTGCTTTGATTTCTACAATACTCCGCAAGTCTTCGATTATTCTGAGACAATGCCTCCACCGTTTGCCAGTCCAGTTTCGGATTTGGCTTCGTGCGCATCAGCAGCATCCAAGGTTTCCTTCAAAGATGCCAAACAACGCCCAAAGAATATTAACAGTGCCATATCGCACTTGACAACGTCGCAGCTCCATAGGCGGACCACCCAAGCGGCACAAGTTGAGCGTCAAACCGACCGTGAGCTCGACAATATTCGGAAATCAATGTACAAGGTTGGTGCGGTTCTTTACAAGTCGGTAACAATAAAGGAAAACACTCTCCAAATGTTCAGGTCAGCTGAGGCGGTAGCGAGTGAATTGAACAACCTTGTCGGCATCGACATTTTGTCTGGAAGAGAGCTTGCCGAAGGTGTCCGGAAAGGCCGAGTCAACCAATCCCCCCCAAGGCTTGGACGAAAGGGAGAAATTCCGGATGAAGTATTCAAAGCTTTCTGCACTTCTATCTTTACTCTCTGCGCCATTAAACAAGTGAATTGTCATGACCGAATGAACCGAGAGCAACTGAAGAGTGCCGTTGGTGAGGTTTTGAATGATATGCGGAAGGAAAATGGCCTCGATCCGATGAATGATGCGAAATTCTACAGTCGCATTGAAAAAGAGATCAGTCATCTACAAGACCTAGTGCCTCGTGTCGGTGAAGGAAAATGGTGGTACCTCCATATGGAGGATGCTCTGTCAGGCTCTTCTGCCGGTCCAAATAGTAAGGCTAGGACTTGTATTTGACCACAAAAGTGTTCTATAGTGGTTACATGCCTGATGGCTTGACTTGTGCATCAGTTTTATAGTTGGAGGTAGCTCCATTTGGAGCTACCTCCATGGAGCTACCTCCATTGCTCTTTCTTTCGCTCCAGCGCCACAATACCATCGAAAACAAGGCTGCAGCAGCAACAACAGACAAGGCAAAAGGTCCTGTGAGAGTGTTGGTGACATGTGTAGCCTGCGACGGGATACAGCTTACAATTCAGCTTTACAGCTTTACAATTAGCAGGCTTATTCTAGAAAATAATCAATAACTGCTCACTTATTTGGAAATACAAACTTTACATCTCTTAGATCCTTAGATTAATCAATGCACAATGATATTGTCGCATGGTAGCATGCGAGGTTATGAGATGTTACTCATTCTTATTCTTATATGTCTATTGGATTCGCTCGCAAGCAACCCCCTCTCTCCTGTCGTCGATCGGAATCGCGACGAGGATCCCTTGGATTCGCTAAGCAATGATTCGCTCGTAAGCAATGATTCGCTCGTAAGCAATCCCCTTGTTGTTGTTGATTCGCTCGTAAGCAATCGCGACGTTGTTGATGATTCGCTCGTAAGCAATCCCCTCTACTATCTTATCGTCGATCCAAATCGCGATCCTGGACTCCTATGGGAGTCCCCCTTTACTCCGATCGATGCAGAACCATACTGATGACTTGCCTGCCTGTTACTGCGCTACTAA